TGCGACCCATGTTGAGGGACCACAGAAAGCTAGAGCGGGTAATAGACCCGAGGCTCGAGGGCCAGTACAAATCTGAGGCGGCTCAGGCAGCTGCTACTCTAGCCTACAAGTGTCTAAGCCAAAATCCTAAGTATAGACCAACAATGACCGAAGTAGTTAAAGTCTTGGAGTCTATCCAAGAAGTTGAGACAAGGGAGCGTAATGGCAACAAAAACGAAGCAAAGAAGTTTGTTGATATAAAAAAGTGTAGGCATTACCGTAAAGGCCAAAGACGAGTGAATATCGCTTATTCAGATTCTCTCCTATACAAAGAATCCAGGGCAAAGCAGAACAATGGGGTTTGAAATTCCTAAGTATTAATATTCTATATATATGTACTCTTCTTATCTTAAGTTGTATGACCCTTTTTCCATGATTTAAGGATGTAAAGGTTATGTTAAGTCTCGTCATTATCTGTAGTTTTAGATAAGTGCCATTTCTATCTTGTGATCTCTCATCCGAGCTTCTCCTTAAACAATCGAAACTAAACACAAAATAGGATGCCAAAGGAAAAACGATTTACACTACATTTTAGTCCTACACTTGTAGTAAACGTATTGGCGCCAGAAACTTCAAATTGCACAACAAAGGTGGTAATAATTAGAGATCCATCCATTGAAAATTGAAAAATATCTATAGGTGTGGGAGTCTTTGAAGTTGTTTTAAGGCTTTCTTATCCGAAATAAGACACCGGAAAGCTCAAAACTCATATGAAATCTTTTGTTTGTCAAACTATTTATCCAGATTTAATGAAATACTTAATAAAACCATTGATCCATGTGTAGATTTGCATGATATGATTAACTGATTAAGTGTCATCCATGCATGTTTAAGTGAGGTGTCTTAACATCATTCATGGTTCACATATTTTGTGTGTTTCCAATTCAAATTTATCAATTTTATTTGATCTAAATCAAACAAAATAAGATGACTGAAAATCAAACCAAATCTGAATATGATATAAACAAATTTATTATTATTGGAAAAAACGAATTTAGAATTAAACCTAGCAGAAAGGTTATATTTAATTAAAACTCCAATATTTACCAGTCAAACCTAGAAATACTAATCATTTAGATTGTTTTCTTACTTGAGATACTTGTAAACATCAATTAGAAATACTAAAACTGAAAATTTTGACTCTAAACCAAACCGAAATCCAAATTCAACACTATTAACAATCTTTAACTATAAAATAATATTTTTAATCTATTCGATAGTTCACAAATGATACTTAAGATTAAGCATAATGCAGGACCTTATAATTGAGTAAATTAGTATTCTTTCGCTTGAAAATGTAAGATATTTTAGGTGAAAAGTATTAATATGTAAAACAATATTTAATAATTAGATCAAAAAATAATTCAGCTAAAAAGTGTTAACCATTTCACAATATGGAACAGAAGAATGTATTATTTAATGACAAGGATTAAGTGTTATCATTATCAGATAGAAAATAATAAAGCATTAATAAATAGCGAGGAAAAAAAAAAGAAGGTCAAATTGAGAGGCGCAAGGTTTGGTGTCTCGTTTTTATAATCTTGTGGTGGTGGTGTTACAGCTTTAGCCAAACACCAAACAAGAGAGAGAGAGTAGAGATAGTCGAGAATTAGAGATAGATAGTAGAAAGAGAAGAAGACGACGACGACGCTTACCCAAACTCGAATCCCTAGGTAAATAAAAAGCACCAAAACCTTCCTCTCCCCTGGAAAGTTATCTCTCTCTCTCTATCTGCCTGTTTATCTTGCTTTCCGCAGCCTTTTACTCTCTGAATCTCGTTTCTCTTCCATGGATCCTCTCTATTTCTTCCGCCAAGGTTCGTCTACCTTCGGATTTGGGTTTTTTTTTCTCCGACGTTTTAAACGAATTCGAATCGCAAATCTCGTTTTCTCGCTCTGTTTCTTGAGTTTGGGAATATTGTAGTTAAGTCTTCAGATTTGAAGAATTAAATTTACTCTTCATGTGTAAATTTTTTTGTCTGCTGATTTTCCATTTTTTTGCATTAAAGCAACAATGCATTGAGCTACGATTTGTAGCCACTCAAAAACTCTGTGTATGTTTCTCTAGTTTAGGTTTGTTAATATGATTCTGAGTCCACACATGTGGTTTGTTTCTTTTCTTGGTAACTTTGAATGATAAAAGTCAATTCCTTTGCAGGTTTCTTTATCTGGTTAAATTTTTGATTTTTTTTTTTTCTTGTTTGGATGCAGGTTTTGGTTAAAAAAGGAGTCATTTTTACAGTTTTTGGATACTAAAAAAGCAATCTTTACTTCCAGTTTGCTGAAGCAATGAGCTTAACCAAGAAAGCACCCACACAGTCAAGTGATCCAAAGCTGAGTTCGAGTATGAAGCCAACAACTTTAAACCCTCACGCTGCTGAGTTTGTTCCGTTTACTCTACGATCTCCTTCATCTGGAGGCACTACTACTACAAGCAATCTTGATGTGACATCAAGACTCTTAGCTTCCTCTAGCTCTGTTGGGAAAGCTGTTCTTGACAGATCAGAATCATCAGCATCACATCAATCAGATGAAGAAGCACGTCAGTTCTGGAGTCACCAACTTCCTGATGATATAACTCCAGATTTCAAGTTAGACGACAATTCCTATGGCTCTGGGAGCTTATCACTAGCTAGCTTGTCCTTGTATGGTGGTGAGAATGAAGCTGAAAAGTATCCTAGTGGAGGAGGGTATCCATTTTCAGACCAGCCTGGATTAGCTTCACATAATGCTAATGGCAACATCTTGTCTGAGAAGAGTAGGTATCTCGTTTCTTCATTTGGGGAAGATCCTCAACGGTCCAGTTTCATGCAGCAACTGAGTCCAAAGCCTTGGGATAAGCAGATTATGAATGCTGACCATCTTCTTGGGAACGAAAGGGAAGGAAACCTTTTCAGTGGTAGCTCTCGACAGGGGTTTGTTAACGACATGGTTAACGAGAGTCCAAATTTGGGAGAAGTTGAAGTGAATCCTGTGGAGTTTCTTGCTTCTCAGTTCCCAGGGTTTGCTGCTGAGAGCCTAGCAGAAGTCTATTTTGCTAATGGTTGTGATTTGCACTTGACAGTTGAGATGCTTACTCAGCTTGAGGTACTCTCCTAGTCCATATTCTTACATAGCTTTCATTTCTTGTGTGTGTTGAAGATATGACTCTGTGTGTGTTTCTACGTTTTCAATTTGTAGCTACAAGTGGACGGTGGCATGAATCAGAACATGAGCCCCAAGACTTTTGCTGCTCCAAATCTAACTCCGATGGATTTTCCGGCTCTTAGCCAGAGTAGTCCTGCACATTTTGGTGGGGATGATTTGCAACAAGCTGGAAACCATTACCAGTCTGCAGAGAAGGATAACATGTTTTTCTTCAAGCCGGGGCCATCGGTTTCGCAGCCTGGTTCAATCGACTATGTCTCTGCGGTCAGGAAGTTGGCAGCTCAAGATTCCGGTATGTGGAAATATGAACGAAACGATTCAGCAGACTCATCTATTGGCTCAAGCAGAAACTCTCACGCTTCTGCTGCTGCTGCTTACAAGAGTGGGCGTGTGAGGAGTTTATATTCTGATAAGCTGCAAAGTCGAGCCGCAAGTCGACCTGCTCCTGTCTGGGTGGAGACTGGGGATGCAGTTGGTAAAGTTCCCCTTTCCAACACACTTTAGCTTGTATACACATAACTGGTTATACATCTGCTTTGATCATCTGTTAGCTGATTGGATTGTTATGTTGCATTTCTGGGATGAATAGCGAACATGTATTCTGACCTACGCGAGGAAGCTCGTGACTATGCACGTCTGCGGAATGTATACTTTGAACAGGTAGAATTAAGCAGATGTTCTTTGCTCTCTTTGTTTATGTTCTTTTGCCAGTCATGGGGTTTTTCACACTCTTTGTTGCTTCTGGTTGAGCGCAGGCACGGCAAGCCTTCCTCGTTGGCAACAAGGCCTTAGCTAAAGAGCTAAGTGTCAAGGGACAGTTGCATAACATGCAGATGAAGGCTGCTCATGGGAAAGCTCAAGAAGCCATTTACCGTCAGAGGTTTGACTTCTTCACATTGCTCCACTGCATCTCCTTGCGACTATGATCTTTCATCTCAAAACCATTGTTTTCAGTATCTCTCTGTTCTAACCTGTGCCTATGAGCAATGAACATATACAGGAACCCGGTGGGTCAAGGGAACGGCAGAGGGAATGAGAGAATGATAGACTTGCACGGGCTACACGTGAGTGAAGCACTTCAGGTGTTGAAGCATGAGCTGAACGTGATGAGGAGCACAGCTCGAGCAACACAAGAGAGGCTTCAGGTTTACATATGCGTAGGGACTGGCCACCACACAAGGGGTTCAAGAACTCCAGCGAGACTCCCAGTCGCGGTGCAGCGATACCTACTCGAAGAAGAAGGCCTTGACTATTCCGAGCCACAGGCCGGTCTCCTTAGAGTCATCATATACTGACCAGGTACTTATATAGGAAAGAAAAGAAGAAAAAAAAAGATCGGCCATGCTATTCATTTTGTTGTATCTGTTCTGTAAATGGGAAGAGAGAAGAGTAGCTGAAAATGAAGGACAAAAACCAAAAAAAGTGTTAGGAAAGAGATGAAGGTAAGAGAAGGAATGGAGGAGATTGCGTATGCATAAAATGTTAGGTTTTGTTCAGAAGAATACTTTTTGTAGCATCAGAGGATCAAATCAGAGACCTCTCTTTTATGTTATTGTGGGGCTTTATATGATGTTTTTGTTGATGCTCTGTGCTTTATCACAGTTTCACTCTATATGCTATACTCCTTTCTTCTGGAAATGCTTATATATATTTGTAATCCTGATAGATTCCAATATGTGCATCAAGTCTTGAATTCATCAGTAAGATAAAAAATTATGACTTGTTACAGAAACAATCAAGCTCTAATCATGAGCTCATAAACATTACTGTTGTTCTCTCCACTCACTCGCTTAAGCATTTCCAAACTTTTCCTACTTCCTAGCAACTCTATTCTTGGGAAAACCATGTATCCATCATCAGATGTGTCTTTGTTGCAATACACTGTTCTGAGACGGTCTGCGTGCCTTGAGTCCGTGTGAATCGCAACCTCTATTTCATGATCCGGCAAGTTCTCCTGTAGAATCAGTACAGACAAGAAAAAAAGCATCTGATTAACTGTGTAACTAAAAGAGTCATATAGCCATTTGAATTGCAGAAACAACAAAGAAAAGTTTCTACCTGATAAAAACTGTGAATGTAGTCTAAGATTTGCAGGCAAGTGAATCCGTTATCACTGAAATAAGTCCGTGAAGAAGGTCCCATCTCCGAGAACCGATCAGTTGGATACAGAATTGTAAGAAAGTTGTCTTTAAATATCACTTCCGTCTTCTCGCTGCAAGGGAACACCAGGAGACCAAGGTGAGATATTTCAACAATGGCAGCAACAGAAAGTACTAGTAGGCTACAGAATGAAGAAATGAGAGACGTAAGAGGAACAATGTACCTCTCGGTGAGTGCTCTGGTTGAGTTTGAAAAAGAAGCTACTGGATCTAGCTCTTTATCTTTCCCTTCTTCAACAACAGAAGTCAGGGGTTCAGTGATGTAACCACTGATGCTACAAGAATCAGTGAAAATAGTGGCAGTTGAAGCTGCTTCAGACACTGTCCAGCAAATATTCTCCAGCAGGCTGTTCTGTGTTATGCGTCTTATTGGGTTTTGGCAAGTCTATGACATCCAATAACAGAACAAGCATTCAAATTCAGACATTATCAGGTGAAAGACTTTCATTAAGGTGAAATTTACCATTCAGTTACCTGCATATGGCGAGCACGCCGTCTCCTAACCCCAGTTTTAGCTACACTTACAGTCTCTTTCCTCTCTTGTTTTGATTTACTTCTGAGCTTAGAAGCATCTTGAGAAATACCTTCCTCGCAAACTTTCTGTAACATTTATACAGAGAGAGTTCGCAACGATTACGAGAAGAGACAATATATGACAGTAAAAATCCCACCATGTGACAATATAAAGTACCTGCTTTGAAGCACCATCTTCAGAATTTTCAAGCATTAATCCTAACTGTCTGGCTAAATCTGGTGACATGTGAACAAGTCTTTGCCGATGTCTCTCCACTGTTTTCAGTACCCATAGTGGCTGATGTAAACAACAACAGAAAACAAAAAGACAAAAGTAAGCATGCTTACATAGAGAATCAAAACAAAAAGGAAGTAGACCTTCTGAAGAACAGAATACAATTATACAACAATGACAAAAAAAAAGAACTCACTGAGACAATGGTGTTTGCGTGACCAAGATATCTCTGAACAGAAGCACCTTCACACACGACAAGACTTGCATTGCAACCAATAAACCACGAATCTATGACCTTTGCTCCTTGATCTCCAGCAACTTTTAACACCTAAAACAAACAACATTTTATTTAAAGAGAATCAAAGAATAGATTGTGCAGCCTTGCCAGCAAAGTTGTAAGTATTTGTATCATGGAACCTGCAAGATTACCTTAAGCCGGAGTTCATCTGAAATATCTGAATCGATATACATGGAATGATCGGAGAGAGTCATGTCTTCACTAGTGACAGTCTCTGTTCCAGAAGAAGTTTCTTGGTGGTTCTTTGCTGATGTGCCAAAATGTACAGGTTTCTGAATTGCACGAGGACGACAAACAGATTCGAGATCAATAACCCGGCTCACATCATCCACCTTTCCGCTATCTGGTCCAAGTTGTTTAACATTGTAAAGTGATTCGCTCATCCTAACTACAGTATATCAAAATACCAATTGTCAGCTACAGCTTCAGAGACACATAACCTTATAAATCAATGAAAAATGAAAACTTACGGTTTCTCCTGACGCTATCTACAAACCAGCTGATAGTAACAACAAAGAGGCCGTTTCTTGCCCCATGTTTCAAAGTGTGCTCAAACTTGCGTCCACATGAGCTGTAAGATTTCGTTAAGCAGCCCAAATGTAATCGAGTGGTAAGATATATATTGTATTTGCAAGAATCATAATATGCTTTAGTACCAATACAGTTTATGTTAAGAAAGGCTTAGAAGGACACGAATCAAGATCATGTTAGGTTCTGTAGTCATAACCAAACACTAAAAAGGTGCAATAAAGAAATGTAAAAAAGGATATCTGGACAATCAAATGGGTACATCGCTGGTGGAGGTGAGGACTATACTCACCTCCAAGACTTTCTGTCGCTTCCTTGACTTGTTTTCTTGCATCTGCGCAAGAACCATAGAAGAACAACATCATCATAATCGCATCAAACCCCATTTTATAACATCACAACCAAAGCAATAAAGAAAACATGATCAGAACAACATCTAAAACGGTAATAAGTTAAAAGATTGAGGAACACAAAAATCCAAACTTCTGCTTATAGAACCTATCATACATCAAAACCCAATTTATAAACATAAAACCACACTTAGAAAAGAGACAAGATAACAATTCTGCAAATCTGCCAAGTATGAAAATTTTAAGACTGATGAACATAAATCTACAAACTTTTTGTTATATAACATCCCAATGATCATTAAACTTCAACATTTCAATCATAATGGAAACAAATTAAAGCCTGGTGATCAAATGATTAAACTAAAACAATCTTAAAACAAAATCTGCGGACACCAATTGATGATTTTACCTTTGGATAAACCAGTGACGCAGATGACAAGAGTAGAGAACGGTCCATCGGGTTGAGACATTGGAGGAAGAGGAGGAGATTGTAACACAGGAAACAATTTTGAACAACCCTTTGAGTCGATCAAACCCACATTTCTTCTGAGAGCACCCATTGTTGTTCATAAACAAACCCTAAGCTTTCAGTCTCGGCTTTATAATTCAAGTCACACACACTTAATTCAAAACGAGGAATCATTGCAGAAAGACTAAAAAGGGAATCAAAATCAAAAGGAAATCACTTTCTCAGAGAAAAAAGAAATCGGGAGATGTAAGGAGAACATGAAAAGGATTTCAAAAAAACACAAAAGAGGGGTTTTAGGGTTTAGTGATTGTGGACAAAATGGTGCTTTAAAATTCTCGGAGTGGGGGCAAAAAAAAAAGATGGACACTTTGGGTTTTGGAAGCTTTTTCGTGGGGTTTTTGGCTTTATCGGCGTGATCCAAAATTTGGAGAATTTAGTGACCACACTATTCAAACTGACTCACCTGCAAATTATTATGTGATTCAAAATTGTTGGGCCCTTGATTTCTCATTTCTCAGTTTCTGTTACCATTTACAATCAATACTCTTGTAAATTTTGGATTTCTAAAAGAGAAATGAATGCAAAATTTACTGTATGTACAGTATGTCATCATCTTATTTGGTGCGATCATGCCCAAATGAGTTCTTATTATATTCAGAATGTAATATAGAGATACTTATTCGTAAATTTCTATCTCCCATTATTGGTTCATATACACTTTCTTGGAAGCAATAATTGTTTATTTTGCTGTCTCACATTATTACCAAGGTTCGTAAATTCAGTGTTCGTCATAGAACTTTTTATAATTATGTATTGCCACTTGTGGGTTCATAATTTATGTCATATCTCAGTAGTACGGAGTCTTTATAACGTTGCTTTTTTCTTTGCTTCTTATGCTCTCTGTCATATTGAATTGAAGACAAGAGCTTTAAGAGATGAGCAAGTAGATCGAGCCACTAAACTTTGTAGACCTTGCCACTAGCTTTCGTTTTTTTTTCTTTCACAAATTCTTTCGATTTTCAACAGTTTTAGAGGCAAGAGTTGCGCTTGAGTTAATTTGGTATATCAAATCACAAGAATAATACACTTCTAGTTGTAAATTGCAATCTGTTAAGATGTACAAAATAGTACCAATGAAAAAAACGAAGACAAATAAATCGTGTTTAACAATGTTTAATAAAATGGGTAAAAACTCCAAAACCTGTTTTCTACTTTTTTAAATTGGACAAAATAAGCCGTTGTCATTTTCATAATTTCAATCATTTCCATTGCTGCATGCAAATACTCGGATATCAAACGCATCTAAACAAAGACCACAAGATGGAGTTAAAGAGAGATAGATAGAGCAAGACTACCTGAAAACAAGTCCAAACCAGAGTGACTGTTGTTGGAAACAAAAGAATAGTACAAATTGCGTGGAAGAGAGAAAAGATTCTTTAGTCATCTTTCTTGCTTCCGAACATTTTCTCACACAAATCGGATTTTTGCTCGCATACGAAAGATTTTAAACCCAGCACTACCGAGTCGATCTCTCGTTCCTTCTTTTCGTACAGGAGAAACGCAGTGAATGCAAGGGGAAGTCCTGTTAAACAAAGAACCATAACGACAACAAAACTAGATATTGTTGAAGAAATATAATTCATAAAACCATAGTGTTGGCATGAAAGTAAAACTAGACACAGAGAGAGAGAGAGAGTACCTATAACAAATATGCTGTGAAGAGATATGGCTCCAGCGAAACTCAATACTAACAAAACGAAGACCACCTGAGACATTAGACGCACCAAACCAGTGTTACAAATTTCTATAAATATGACCTCCACGACGAGTTTTTGTCCCCATTTCCGATTCAGGTTGGGATTCAAGATATCGTAAGGCCCAGAGATATCTAGTTGAAGGGGGGAAATACCTTGAGAAAGAAGCTCCAATCATTCCCCCGGCAAAGTGATTTAAGAGCTTTAACAGTGGTGTTCCATGAAGAGATCACTGACAATGAGAGGTGATGTGACAAGTCTTCCGAGAGGTGAAACTGCGATGCAGGAATCTTTTCAACTGTATAACCAAATCTGCAAAATAAGCATATCTATTACATTCAGTTGTTCATATATTATATAAGGTATAGTTCATATTGTATATAATAAAAATCTATATAACATTTGTCATATCAGGAATCTTACATTTTCTCTGGTAGAATGCCATGGACGAACAAAAATACCGATGATACGAATAGAGCCTTCGAAAGAGCAGTTATGATGGTAGACCCAGTTGCAATAAAGTTATAATAAATACTAATGAGAATGAATATGGCAATGAGAGTCTTCTTCAGATCCTTCCAGAGAAGTGTATCAGCAACTGCAAGATCATGTCCGCAATTAGCATTCTCAATATGTATCGTAATAAATGAATCAAGACCAGTGTAGATTGTTCTAAATTTGAAAAATATATGTCTAGTTTTGCTAGCATCCTAAGCCTCTTCACAGTGATATGGTTGCTACCAAACCAACTTAACACCATCATTTTCAGGAGACGCATTTTAAAAACGAAACGCTGTCTTATAATGGGAGAGACAATCAACAGAAAGGAAAACCATGCTAATTGAAATATCCGGCCATACCCTTTCCGCCTCCAAGGATCCTATAAGCCTTGGATGGGCCCTCTCTTTTGGATTGACTTGAAGCTGTCAGGTGAGAGAATGAGTCTATCGTCCTCCGTATACCTTCCTGCAGGATCATCAAGTCATGCATTAGATATTATGATATCTAACCAAACGCTGCATCCAGACCCAATAGCAGTAGAATATAGGGATGCAGCAAATACATCTCCGTTTCAAATTATGTTGTAACCTGAAGCGGCACAACAGGAGCATAGCCTAGCCGATCCTTTGCCTTTGTGGAATCGAAAGTTCTGTTACATGAGAGCAGCCTAACTCTTGAAGGTGTTAGTTGTGGTACTTTCATCCCATATGGCCCCAACAAATTATATATCAGTTCAACCAGATACGCAATGGGCATCATGACAAACGCAGGGATCTTTATGCTTGGCCTGCAAAATATGATAAGTTAAAATGTATGGTTTAGTTCAATGCATTCTTTCTTAGGTAAGTAAAGCTGGGAAAAAACTATATCCCCAAAGAAAATGGTTCACACAGAAACAATATCAGAAAAACTTGTCATGCACATAAAGGGAAAAATGTGTCAGCTAGGATATCACTATGACTAGACACTAGAACAAAACAAAACAAAAAGGGAAAACACAATACCTCTCGTAGCCAAGTCCTTCAAGAAGCTGTGACATAAAATCCCAAAATTTAATTGGCTCCATGTTGGTAATGAAATATGCCTGTAAACCCATCAAATGTCAGGTCAGCCTGCAACTATGATTGTCCAACAACGTCATAGATAAACTACCATCTGACTACGCGCCTATGTTCAGTTTGAATTCAAGGGATTAAAGTTTTACGGCAAGAAAAAATGTAAATTATCTTCTTTGAAGTAATTTTCAAACGTCTTAAATGTCTCTCTGAAAGTTCACATAATATTAAAGTGAAGACAGTTTCTGTCTCAGTTTTATGGTATGTCTGAAACCTTTTTGATGGTTTCGGTATTCCCAAATAACATACACAAAAACGCCTTCCTTAATTCAGCCCGGTTCACCAAATGACAACATTCATTCTAGACATATAAAGCTAGAATACTAGTGAGACAACAGATATAAGAGGTGCGACTGAAACCAAACTTCACCTAGGTAAACTAAGGCATGAGTTCCACTGAAAACAAATACCTGGCCTGCAGCCTTTGTAGAAACATCTCCTCCTGAAGCTAGAGCACGCTCGGCACAAACATGGGCATGAGCAACATTTTCAACGTAAGTGAAATCATAGAGATTATTCCCATTGCCTATAATAAACTGGACATTAAAGACGCAGAAAACAGTTGTATCAAATATATAATTTATACACGTTTTATATCAAAGAAGAAATGCCACCCAAACAGTGCATATTTTCATTTCCAAAGATCCCTGATCATATAAGCAACTTCTAATTAGCATTACACCATTTATAAGAGAGTAATTCCAGTGCACATAAATCGCAGAACCCTAAAATAAATATGGCAGATGAAGAACAAATTAATTCCTACTAGGCAAAGCCATATATTTCAACTATGAGAGAATATCTCACCGCACAACCAGGAAACTATTCCCTTTTTTTAAGTACTCATATGTATGTTGCTTTCCCCAGCAGCATTTGCGTCTCGTGTTAGGCTACTATTAAGACCATTACATCTATGTCATCTAATTTAAGTTTCCAAAGAAAAGTCCCCACATCCCTGACACTGTCCAGACATATAGAAATTGATTCCTCTAGAGTGAGTTGTAGTCTAAAGCTTCAAATTAACAAACTTTGCAAAGGCAATACCCCATTTTCTGCGTAAAACATGCTTAAACTGTCTTTTCTAGTGTGTCAATCATCTGACTTTTGAGAAAAACTTACTGGTACATCTATAAAATGTCAAAGCTTTTAACGTAAAGCATGATCATGAATTTCAAACACGTTTAGAGAAGGCAGACAGCAGATACAGTGGTAAAAACAATAGACAAAGTAAATAATCCAACCTTGGATTTTCCAGCCCTCGCAGCATCAACAAGCGAAGGAACCAATAATCTATCACCGGGACCAAAAATACTACTCGGACGTATGCAACAAGTGAGTAGTCCATTACTTCCATTCGCCTTCATGATCAACGCTTCTCCTTCAGCTTTAGTTGCTGAATACGAGTCATTGTGCTGAAACAGATGAAGAATATATCAAATAACCAAGTTTCAAAACAACTGTTAACAACTAGAATCATTTAGAAATCCAGTACAAATCAGAGTTTCATATAATCATATTAACGCCATTGTTCTGTAATCAATACCTTGGATGGATAAGCAATTGATTCACTACCATTCAAAATACCATGAACACCATCAAACACAACGCTAGGAGAGCTCGTGTAGATAAGCCTCTTTACTCCATTATTAACACAAGCATCAATAACATTTTTTGTCCCTGAAGATTCAAATTCCCAATGATCAACAAAGAGAAATGAAAAAGGAAAGAAACAAAATGATCAAATTTGCAGTTTCGATTAACCTTGAACATTAACCGAGTAATGAAGCTGATAATTGTTGATAGAAGAATCTGGAGCTGCCATGTGAAACACCACCTCTGCTCCCTGAAAAGCTGCTCGAACTCGAACAATGTGATCCATGATCAGAACCATTTCCTCCTAAAACCCGAAACAAACGAAGATGAAAACAGTAGAGAGGAAGAAAGAACCTTTGGCGACTTGAGCATTATCGCGGAGATCAGCGGAGACATACTGAACACTACCGGATCTAATCGCTTCGCCGAGAACTCCATTCTCCTCCTGAGGATCAAGCTGAATCGCCGGAGCTAAATCGGCGATGCGGACGTGGAACATCTCGTAGCGTACGAGCATCTCAACAAGATGCTTCGCCGCGAATCCTCTCCCACCGGTAACGACGCACCATCGCTCCGTCTCTGTAGATTCCGGCGCCATTTCTTCTCCGGCCAAAGATGCTTCTCCGTCACTATTTTACTATTTTCCTTTTTCATAATATTTCCAGTTTAGTTGGATTCACTGCTTGACTTGTATATGGGCTTCAACTTCTCTTATGGCCCACGAAAGTCATGGTCAAAAAGTCTTGTTTTTGTTGGTCACAAGACCAATACTAAAAATTGAATTTTCTCTTTATTAATAGTAAAACAGTGGGAAACATTGTGCAATAATGATCAAAATGGTTGCTTCAACTACTTCCTGTAAAATGTCATCAGCCATTTGACTCATTAAAGAAGACAGCCATAAGTTAGATATCATCCTCAACTCTCTAGTAAACGTAACCAATTTCTCATACGTCTTAACAACTTATTTAATTAAGACAGATACTTTAATTTATCTTCCTTTAAAGATTAGACTAACAAACTTTCTTTATCGCATATCAATGTCACATATTTAGAAAGTACTTATGATGTCCGTGTTCCGTCTGTGGATCGTCCTTTCTCTTTCGAGGGTTTTATCATAATTCTTGTCAACCGATAATGTTTACCCGATCAAATCCACAATAATGTGTTCAACCGAAATATATCAGTACATACTTACGTGTTTATTTATTTCTTTTGCAGTGGACGTAATTATGAATTTAATGCTCACTATTCACCTTTTAATGTAATGCAAAGAAAAGAAAGAAAAAAACACATTCACGTAAAGAAAACACAACCTGGCCATGTGTTGTCCTTGCTATGTCACAGCCATGTTAAGTAAGTATGACCAATTACTTTTAGCATAACATTTATTTATTTATTTATTTATTTTAAGCATACTACTTTTTTGCTGTAGATCTTTTGACTTAACATATTTACCCAATTCAAACACTTATATTTATATGTATATATAAATTAGTCTCTACAACTATTGAAAAGAAAATACGTCAAAATAAAACGTTTTTTTTTTAAACAATAGAAAACTGCTAAAATGAAAACTAGTTGAGCATGAGTAGTTATGATCAACTCGAGCATATACTACGACACTTGATATTTTTTAAGTCTCTAATGTGATTTCTCTGATGAAAAATCTGGATTATTTATATGGTTTTGTCAAAACGGATAAACTTGAGATTTTTTTTTTTAATTAATTTGTACAATCATTGGTTGTTGTTGCTTAGGGTTGATTTTCCTCTGTCTGGAGTCACGTCGTTGACCCTAATCCACATGAAAACAGAATAAATTGCCCAAATCCTTATCTATACGAAGGAATAGATTTTCTGTAATCTGCACATATATGCAATAGTATATGAATCCCTCTCCAACATGCACTCATTCACATATGTGGGCGTTTAGATACAAAAAAAAATAATCATTATGTAAAAAATAAAATAAAAAGTTAATACAGACGTCCACATAATTGTCATATACTTAATAAAAATTACACTCCGAAAGATGTTTTTTTTTTTTTGCGAATTCCGAAATATTCTACCAATTAGTCAATTACAAATTGATGCAGAGTTCATACTATTATGATGGACCGATTCAGCCATTCCGCAAGATGAATGACCAAAACAAAACAAAAAGTGCATCTGTACATATTTTCCATATAAGTAGCTGTTTGGGTAATTCTCCTAACTGGCACACATTTTTAAGTTTTTTGTAGTAAACATAGCACTATAAAATTAATTTTCCAATAATAACACAAATTCAGTATCAAAATGAATCAAAACTCTAGATTTCAAAAAGAGAACTCAAACATGATGTTTTAATTAGATGTCTACTTAATTTATATTAAACAAGTATTTTTCACCCAAAACCAAAAATTGTGGTACTTCTGAAATTTTAAATTTGGTGTGCTATTTAGAACAAAAACTATTTTTATGCTACTTTAGGATTATTTTTCTTCGTATTTCATTTGGCAAGTTTTTTCTTTTTTTCTTGTTCTACTATTCCTAGATTCTACCGTCAATCAAAGTCCTATCTTTATAACAATCACCCAGAAGAAATCAATAAAACAGAATTGATCCGGAAATCGAAATGGACACGAATTGTCAAAAAGTAGTCATCTTCAAGCCTTTGACATACACAAGATTGTAATAAATGCAAACATAAGCTCCAAAACTACACCTTATTTGAACGGAGGAATTAATAAGAGTGACATAACTCACTCCAACTACGACCAGTACAAGTAGTTGGCGACATTAACTACCTCTCACCAAACACCAAACCCAATCCCCACAGTTTTACCATTACTCTCATATAACTACACAAACTCTCATTTATATTTTTCGCCAACACAACTCCTTATAAGAATATACTTTCATCAACCCTTTAGATCTCACTCACACATAACCAAAGTAGTTCACAAAGAAAAGAAAAGATGAGTAGATCCAACGAACAAGATCTACTCTCTACCGAGATCGTCAACCGTGGGATCGAACCTTCCGGTCCTAACGCCGGTTCACCGACGTTCTCGGTCAGAGTCCGGAGACGTTTACCGGACTTTCTTCAGTCGGTGAATTTGAAGTACGTGAAACTTGGTTATCACTACCTCATAAACCATGCGGTTTACTTGGCGACCATACCGGTTCTTGTCTTGGTGTTTAGTGCTGAGGTCGGGACTTTAAGCAGAGAAGAGATTTGGAAGAAGCTTTGGGACTATGATATTGCAACTGTCATCGGTTTCTTCGGTGTCTTTGTCTTAACCGCTTGTGTCTACTTCATGTCTCGTCCTCGCTCCGTTTATCTCATTGATTTCGCTTGTTACAAGCCTTCCGATGAACTCAAGGTACGTAGACATCAAATCAACCTTCCCATATTGAAAATAGTCTTCATTATTACTATTTTTAGATAATAGTTACGTTTATTTAGATATAAGAATAGATGGATAAATGTTGAACCAAATATATTTGGTCCGTGATTATTTTATTAAAACATTTTTCGATTTTGGTTAGATTTAATCGAAAAATACTGAATCAAAAGAAACTGGTTTGACTTTATTATTTTAATAATTCGATTTCTGTGTTTTTCGAAAAAGACAAATCTGATTTACGACTTCTTAAATCGAAGGAGCTAGATAGGAACCGGATTGAATTGATGATAAATGAAGCTGAACAAAAATCAAACTATGTCCAGTTTAGTTATATCCGGTTTAGTTATTGTAATTTTAATTCGATTTCTGTATATTATAATCTTATTTTATGGCTGTATAATAGGAACCGAACTGATAATTAAATGAGCTAAAACCAAACCAAACTCCATTCGGTTCAAGTTATCTCCGGTTACATATTTTCTAAACTTTTCATTTTGTTTGGTTCAGGTAACAAGAGAAGAGTTCATAGATCTTGCTCGAAAATCTGGCAAGTTCGACGAAGAGACACTCGGTTTCAAGAAGAGGATCTTACAAGCCTCAGGCATAGGCGACGAGACGTACGTCCCAAGATCCATCTCTTCGTCGGAAAACATAACGACGATGAAAGAAGGACGTGAAGAAGCCTCCATGGTGATATTCGGAGCACTCGATGAGCTCTTCGAGAAGACACGTGTCAAACCAAAGGACGTAGGTGTTCTTGTGGTTAACTGCAGCATCTTTAACCCTACGCCGTCTTTGTCGGCGATGGTGATTAACCATTACAAGATGAGAGGGAACATACTCAGCTACAACCTTGGAGGAATGGGCTGCTCCGCCGGAATCATAGCCGTTGATCTTGCTCGTGACATGCTTCAGTCTAACCCGAATAGTTACGCGGTGGTTGTGAGTACCGAGATGGTTGGGTATAATTGGTACGTGGGACGTGACAAGTCAATGGTTATACCTAATTGCTTCTTTAGGATGGGTTGCTCCGCCGTTATGCTCTCTAACCGTCGCCGTGACTTCCGCCACGCTAAGTACCGCCTTGAGCACATTGTCCGGACTCACAAGGCAGCGGACGACCGTAGCTTCAGGTGTTTATTTCTTTTCGTTTCTTTTGTTCAGGTTTAGATTATTTAGGTTAATACAAAATTTATAACCAAGTAAATTGTTTGTGTATGGTTTTAGGAGTGTGTACCAGGAAGAAGATGCACAAGGATTCAAGGGGTTGAAAATAAGCAGAGACTTAATGGAAGTTGGAGGTGAAGCTCTCAAGACGAACATCACTACCTTAGGCCCTCTCGTCCTTCCTTTCTCCGAGCAGCTTCTCTTCTTTGCAGCTTTGCTCCGCCGAACTTTCTCGCCAGCCGCCAAAACCACCACAATCTCCTCCTCCTTGTCCTCTTCCACCACCGCTAAAACCAATGGAATCAAGTCGTCCTCCTCTGATCTGTCCAAGCCATACATCCCGGACTACAAGCTCGCCTTCGAGCATTTCTGCTTCCACGCAGCAAGCAAAACAGTGCTTGAGGAGCTCCAGAAGAATCTAGGCTTGAGTGAAGAGAACATGGAGGCTTCTAGGATGACTCTGCAGAGGTTTGGAAACACTTCTAGCAGTGGAATCTGGTACGAGCTTGCTTACTTGGAAGCCAAGGAAAGTGTCCGTAGAGGCGATAGGGTTTGGCAGATTGCGTTCGGGTCAGGTTTTAAGTGTAACAGTGTGGTGTGGAAGGCAATGAGGAAGGTGAAGAAGCCAGCTAGGAACAATCCTTGGGTGGATTGCATCAACCGTTACCCAGTGCCTCTCTGATCATTTCAAATTATTATTTCTTTTAAAATTAAATCATGTAAGATCTCTAATTATTCCAACCAAAAGAGACACAATTAATGGTTGGGTTCTTGTTGTTGGATGATAGGAGCTGTTTACTGATCATTCATATCTAAGATTTTCTATAAGAATGGATTGTTTGAATCCAGTTCAGGTTCAACTTATTTTATTTTTGTTTGTTTGTTTCTTTTCAACCTCAATAAACTTTTGTAGTAAGGCAAGGATGGAATGCAATTTTTTTATTTATCATTTTCATCTTTTAAAAACGTGATTCTGTCGACTACATGCGATTTAGTAGTTAAACACACAGAATGATAAAACGTGGAAAGTGAAAACCAACAAGTGATTTAAAAAAAAAAATTATAACTAGATTAAACAATTTCATTCATTTACGAAATCGTAACATTTAGTTATTCAGCTGTTTTACAACTATGTTTTTATTTTATCCTACAATTCAGCTGCTACACACAATAATTAGAGTAAGATGGATTGATCCGTTTGTGAGGAAGTCTTATCTATGAAAAACATCGTCTTCACAGCATGTACTGTATTTGCTTATGTAATAATTTGTTTTTTTTCTCAAAGGTATTACTATTGGCTTACTTTTTGTTTATGAAATGGGCTAGTTTCATATTCCAGTTAGTAAGCCAGGCCCACTTTTAAAACCACGTGTCATTTCAGTATTGTCAGATCCTGACGCCGTTCTTGACATTTGTAGTTCTTGGTGAAGACCGCTTCGTTTGACTTTAGACTTTGGCTCGTATCAAGTTTTTCTTTGCTATTTCAACCCGAGAAAGCAGAGATCATCGTAGGTGACGAAAAAGAAGAAGAAGATGGATTCATCGATGTCACAGAAGCTTACTCTTGTTTATGCTTCTCTCCTCGGAGGTATTAAGTCGATCTTTTCCTTCTTCGATTCTCAAATCATTTTTGTAACTTGAGTCTTGATCCGATTAGGTTTTGAGTTGTAAGACTATACCTGCTTCTTTCGCTTGTTACTTCTGATGCTTTTGGAAATCTCAGGAAAATAATTGCATTTACTAAGAATGTTTTGCTGATGAATTATGTTGTATAAATCTACCGTAAGTAGGCAATTGAAATTCCGTGTTTTTTTAATTCAGAAGATTGAAAACAAGTTATAGGAACTAGGGCTGGCTCTTTCATTGCCATTTGCTTGAGTACTATTTAATCTTGGCTTTGTAATGTGTAGTTACCAGTCTGATAAGAGTCTAGCAAAATGTTTTTGCATGAATAAAGTGTGTTAATTGTTAACTAAATGATGTCCAAATGATGTCCAGCGTCGAATATATATCGTTGTTAATAGTGATATTATTTGGTTGTGAGGTGTTTCATCAACGGAGTTGGTGCTTTGACTGCTCAGTCATATTAGTTGCAGTAATGTATATTATAATTTTTTTGACTAATGAGAATTGTTTGTGACAGCTGGTGGATTGATGGGTTACATGAAACGCGGAAGCAAAATGTCACTAGTCGCCGGAGGAGGATCAGCTGCGTTGTTCTATTATGTATACACGGAGCTCCCAGCAAATCCTGTCTTGGCATCTTCAATTGGCATTGGTAAGGAAATTTATATTTCTTGGGAAATCTTGAACTAGTTTAACATGAGTCCAAAAGTCCTGCCTAGCTCAATTAGATTACAGTAACGTGAATGTTCAGACCTATCTTAGTACATGGTCTTTCTGTTGTGTATGTACATAAGTGAAGAATGGTTTGGTTGTAATGGTGTAGTGGGGTCGGCGGCACTAACGGGGATGATGGGATCGCGTTACCTAAGGACGAGGAAAGTGATGCCGGCGGGAGTTGTGTCTATGGTGTCACTGGTGATGGCTGGGGCTTACTTGCACGGCCTCGTTCGCTCAACCTGAAGCCCTTCTGCCATGTTTTGTTCCCAATATGGTTTGGGTGGGCATTTCAAACTCTGAAAATTGTCTGTTATACAATGCTTTCTGATGTGTTTTGTCGTTGACTATTTCTTCCACATCACTCTTACTCAATCTTGGCCATAGTAGAGAATCATAAAGCAAAGGATATGGGGTTTAGGGTTTCCATTTCTTACTTTTTTTCCAAGTATACTAGTCACTTAAAAATGTGATCATTATTCTGCTTCTTGTGTCGTAAGAGTTCTTTATTACAAGTCTCAGAAGAAAAGTAAGTGCAAAACAAAGAAAACACTAATTAAGAGAGAAGAGATACACATTGAGTAAGATGATAATTCTCATCAGCTTTTAAAAACTCTTCTTATTTAAAATCTTGACATTAACGATCAATCTCCACCATCCAACCTTTGGTATCTTCAACAAGACCTATCTGAATACTTGTCAACATTGAGTAAAGCTTAGTAGACAATGCTTCTTCTCCTGTCCTGTATTTCACTCTGCGCACAAAGATAAATCAACATTAAGTAACCCGAATACCCGATAATCGAAAAGATTGGAGATTTGATCGTCTATGTTATAGAAAAGAAACTAATCACTTGTTGTCATGGAAGGTCACAGTTTCGACAGCTTTAACGACCACTGCTGTTCCCGTGCAGAAAACCTCCTCTGCTTCCAGAAGCTCCTCCACAGAAACATCACATTCTTGAACCTGTGATACATCGTGAATCACAGCCTAAGATACTAATCCATATATGTACGAAATGGTATTGGATAGAGAGTGAAATGCAAGCAATGTTGGAACCTGGTAGCCGAGATCACGAGCTAGCTCGATTATGCTTTTCCTTGTGATTCCAGGCAAAATGGTTCCTGAAGTTGGTGGAGTGGACACAATGTTTCCCTATATAATAACAAAATGATCAACCTTATAAACTAGTTTATTGTTAACAAGTCTAAACACTTCAAGCTCTCTATATTACCTTGAGAATGAAGATGTTACAAGTAGAAACCTCCTCGATGTTTCTACCAGTTGCCGAATCCAAGAACAAGACATCAGAGAAACCCAATGACTTTGCTTCCAGCAATGATTTCACAACCTTCCAGTATTTATACAAATTTATATTCCATTTTATATTTTATACAAAATATAAATTCCTTTTAGCTTTTTTTTGGTATTTACTTCTGGTGTCTCTTTTAACTTACTGGAGAATAGTTTGTGCAGCTCTTGACACCACCCGTTCCACCTGAGTGGGCTCGATGATACTTATCATCAACTTTGAGGTTCAAGCCTGAGCTTACCTACAAGACAGAACCTAACTGGTTAAGCCAGAGTTTACTTCACTAAACAACAAACACACAAACAACAAATTACTCACCTTATGGTAATTACCAACAGGAGATGTGTAAATAAGGAATGTGAATTCAGGTGCTGGAGCGACTCCAAGGACAGCACCACTCCCAATTAGCAGAGGCCTTATATACAAAGCTCCTTTACCCGGTGGAGGAATCTGTAAACCCCCAAAAAAAACAAGAATCACATTTAAATGGAATTAGAGACACATTTGTGGTCTATAGACTATAGTCCATACCCATTTCTTGTTGGCAAGCACAGTTTGCTTAACAGCTTCCACGAATTGCTCCACGGAAGGAGGTGTCATACAAAGCCTATCCGCACCGTTTTGCATACGAAGAGCGTTCTGCTCAGGCCGGAAAACCCTAATCCTGTTATCTTCTGTCCTGTAAGCTTTGAGTCCTTCAAATAGTCCCTACAAAACCCAAACCAATAATATCAAAATGTTTTCTCTCAAACTCTCATATATATATGCATAGATAGACACTAAAAGTTCTAAGTAAATCATAATAAACTCAAAGTAACCCTGAATCCTCAATATACGTTTATTAAGCGATTATAAGGAGAATGAAGGAAACAAAACCTGGCCATAGTTGAGAATCGGAGAGCAAGGACTAACTGAAATGTCACCATAAGGAACAACCTTCCCTTGTGAAAAACTCTCTCCTTGTTTGCATTTCGCCACATACATATAATCTGTCGGAGTCAGAGCGAATCCAAGCTCTTCCCATTTCACATTCGCGTATTTTTCATCTCCTTCACTGTTTTAAAATTGCAATGCATGTCACCAAAAACCAAAGAAAAACATAAAAACGACAGCGAACACGAGATACTCAGATCAGGAGATTCATTTGTTAACCTTGTAAGAAGAGGCGACTGCGCAGAAGGAGCCATCGAGTGAAGCAGAGAGAGAGAGAGAGAGAGAGAGAGAGAGAGAGGCTTAAAGCGGCGGTCACGTGCTTTAGGAGCGGCTAGCACGCGTCCTTTCATATTTATAGTGCCAACAAACCAACAAACCCTTTTGATTCGATTCCTACGGACGTATTTTAAAATATTTTGAGTGCATTTTTCTAAATACTTTTGGAATCTTCAAACTATTTGTGTAAGAATAATTTTCTTTTGTATTACACAGTTTAAACTTGTATCACAGTCTTAATAGTTAAATAGTTTGGAAAAACCTTTTTTTTTTTCATGCAAAGACTACTACATATACAATTTTTTTAAGAACACAAATTACATAGTCAAGAGAGAGGAGCAAGTGGCCCAGTGGTAGTCACCTCTGCATCCATCTCGTCTGGAGTTCGACTCCACCTTCCCCCATGTGGGGTTAATTTCATCATTGGGAGGATTATGGGTTTGTGGGCCGGCCCGTTATGACCCACAAATGATAACAAAAAAAAATAAAAAAATTACATGTCAAGATAAATTTAATTTAGTTGCATAACAAACCCATATCATCACACTACTAATTTCCGATAGAGAAAACCACAAATAAAGCTGCTAAAAAGGCAGCTATAGAAAAAGTAGACGATGTAACACCATAATTTTTCTTATCAAACAAACCCTTGAGAACTGGTAGGAACAACATAGCCACAAAAGTACATCCAGAAGCTTCTGCCAAACCCGAACCACCTCTTTGGTCACTATGACTCCATAGTTGTTGGCCCACCAAATAATCCGCTAGAGCGGCTACATTGACCAACAAAATAAATGTGGCGGGCAGTAAATAAAGCGTGTCATCGACTTGACTATCATCTCCCCGTTGAGGTGGTCCGTCTTTGGATCCTAACTTAGTAGCAGGCACGGTCTTTTTGGTGACTACAAACACGGTTTTTGAGATTCCAAGAAGCTTGAGTGTGATATCAAAGATGCTAAATAACGAACCACAAAAGCTGGGATACCAAAAATCCACGGACAAACCAGGCCGCATAAATTTCCATAGAGTGTAAATACAATGCATCCCCACAAATGTGAGATTTATACCTAACCAAAGTCCCTAAAACAACACACAAAAAACATTATAACATTAGTTATTTCACTTATATATGATAATAAATATAACTATGTTTATATCAAAGCTATGATATGAATTAAGAGAAAGAGAGTCACCTTGGGAAATAAGGTAGAGTCGTGGAGTAAGCAATAAGCGGGCAAGAGACAATAAAAGAGCATAGGTAGTGAACCTAAACTCGACATGGTAATGGAGAGATAAACAAGCCACTGTCGTAATCTTATTTTTTGTTGAAACATTCCAATCAATGGACTTTGTTTGTTGAAGAAGATTTCGAGCGCGCCCGTCGAAAATCGCTGCTTCTGGAGCATCGCCTCCGGTCCTATAGGCGGCATACAACCTTTAAACGATGGTGGATCCGAAGATATGAGTGAGCTAGTCCATCCTCTCGAATGTATTGCGATACACGTGTTCACATCCTCTAAAATTGAATCGTATAACCAACCGATCTGCATGATTTATATCATAAAAATGATCATTATGGACCAAACGCCCAAACTTATTGTTATTATTATGTAAAATAATGTTGACTATCAATGATTAAATTTAGAATGTAGTTACCGTTTTGCCCCAACTAGTTTGATATTCATAATGAATATTTCCAACTTCTGTGGCCGCTTCTATGGAGTTTGTAAAGTTGTTTTGAGGATTTGCTTTTCTTTGCAATGCTCTGGCCGCCGATTTCACTAACTCTTTGGAAATTCCAAACATTTCCGCTAAAGTCTTCTCTGCGGAAAGTTTCCCTTAATAGCATAACAGCATAAGACATGAATGATATAGTTGGTTTACAAAATAACTGAATGAAACTTTGCTTTAAATATATTTTGAAGAAATATATGACATTATGATATAACAACAATCATTTATGAATTTGCTAGTAGTACTTACTTGTAGCAACTGAAGAAAGACTTCCATTGTCTTCTACATCGTCCGGATATAAGCCGTACATAACTCTTCTGGTGTGGAAGCATCCGGACCCTGTATAAACCGATCCCTGGATTCCCGCAACTCCTCGTTCCAAAAACTAATTACCAAAAATTGAAGATATCAAAAAGCAAAGCTTAAGTATATTGTTTGATGAATAACATAAAAAATTAATCAAAACTATAATTCATATGCAAGGAATAAATCGCACCGATTGCAAGAGGTTAAATCCTTCAGCCTTAGAGTCACACACATATTGAACAAAAGCACAATGATTTGGGTTCATTGATTCCTCCAAAAATATGCACATTGCTTTTCGCACCGCATCTGCATCAGTTGCATACATGTCACAGTCGACATCCAGCATGTACGGCGCATTTGTCATCAACCCCGACACTCTTACCTGGTTGATTATCATAAGCTAATTAAAATATAACTAGTATAATAACAACAAAAGCTAAGATCTACAATCATTCATAGGCTAATGAATATGGCTTGTCTTATCCCTCTCCTATAATGTAAGCAGTTTCAGAAAATTATTGTCTCACAATATAAGCAGTTTTGAGAATTTAATACAAAAGAAATATTATTTTAGTTTAAAAAATGCAAAAGCAAAAATGAAAATGTAAGTTTCTATACATTAATTCCACTTTTGCTATTTTTCTTCTTATTTTAATTAGTATATTAATAATTTATCCTAAGAAACATAAAAAGTATAAAAAAATCTTAATATGTGTAATATATCCAAAACTGCTTAGATTATGGGATATAGGGAGTATATTATTTTTTTGCATCGAAATGGCTTGTCATATATGATGTCTCAGTTATCAAAATAATTGATCATTCATAGGCTAATGATCATATATCTATATCACATTTTAAAATATCAAGCCATTTCATCAGGAAGAGATGTGTGTGAGAAAGTTAGTTGACCAGAAAGTTCATGGCGCCGGCTTTATAATGGTGAACATAACTTGGTTGCTTCTCTCTTGAAATGTATACAAAAGGAGGGACCTCTTGCTCGTTTCCTACACCACCCTTGTTCTCCCATATCACCTTCACATAAACATGTGAAAAGTGCAATATGATATATAACGTAACAAAAATTCATATACTTGTTATAGGTGACCCTTTTTGAATGTGAATAACAATAGTTAGAGATATAAAAATAGCTTTGGTAAATTGAGGAAATACCTTAACAATAGTTGAATGATCGGTTGGTTTTGTGTTTGAGAAAGCTTCAAAATCATCGTCTGCATCAAACCAATGGGAATCTCCGGTGGCATCTTCCACTTTCTGGCTTAAATTCTCGTACTCCCTCTATATATTAATAAACCAACAGTTTAAAAAAAAAAAAGACACACTCGGTGACATGCATGAAAAAATTAATCAGAATGTGTGGTTATAGATTTGAGTCAATTAGGTCAACTAGGTAAATGGTAATCAGGCAAAACAAATGAAGTAAATGGCAATAATAAATATCAAAATGTTATTAATCTGATTTTACTTTTCACTTAACTGTCACATGGAATAATTTTTTTCTTTTCTGCAACCTATATTTTAAAAACCTTTTGTAGAAATACAAAGGTTTTTCCATTTCCATGGGGAAATTTTTGCTTAAATCAATGTCACAAGGAAAAGCAGTATTAAAATGATATTTCTCAAAATTTTCAGTTGTAAAAACAAACTCGGAAAGCTAACTGTTTCTTTTTGCATGTATTATTTTTATGTTTATTTTAAAGTTCTTTAGTTGGGTGTGATTAAACAAAGAAACTACGCTGTTGTCTTTTGTCTCTCTTTTGAAAGTATAGTAATGATAGTTTGATTTGTTATCATAAACACAAACTAAAAACCCTAAAAATGAACAATTGAATTTGTTACCTTCATCATGTTCCAATCGTTACTGAATTCAGAATCCTCTGATGAGACTACAGGGCTCAAGAAATATTTAAATGGAGCTCTAACTCCAACGTTGTATTTCTTGCAGAAAGGAACCCAAATTTTGGCGAACTTGAAAGCTTCCTTGAGAGAGAAGTAAGTGAGAGGTGAGCATCCATCGTCCGACACATAGCAAGCTAGTTTATTCGGCGGATAGTTGACAGCTAACAGCGAAAGCACGGTGTTCACAACAATAATCGGTGGCTCCCTGACCGGATCCGCCGTGGATACAAACATATCTAAGGAAGGAAGGTCATGAACCCTGAAATCAAACAACAGTTATACAAAGATCATTTTCGAAATATACTACAGAATTAAAACATACGAATGAATAGTATTTCGTGAGAAATAGACTAAGAGCGAGGAAGCAGCTTGCTATGACTTTACAAATTTATAAAGAACATATGCTATTTAACTAAAGAGCTAGGTGTAAGATTGTATATATAATTTGACTCTAAATGGCACCTTTCATCAAGTCTATCTGGATAAGGTTTATGTTCAGCAGGACTCCATGTTACGTTGGTAACAAGCAGCCACATGAAAGAGAAACAAGATTCACAGAGGAAAGCCATGACCCAAGCGATATCGTTTTGGTTCATATGTAGAATTCTGTACAAGAGAAGAGAAAAAAGAAGACCGATAATAGTGAGATTCAAAGCTCTTAGAACATAGCTTTTGTATGAGATCCTTTCACAAAGAGGAGGGAGAAAAGAGCTTGAACTGGCCATGGAAAGAGCTTTCTTGCGTTTTTTGTGTTGTATATGTTTGAAGGGTTAAATAAATATAGTGTGTCACGTCTATACGTCTATATATAACAGTAAAGCGTGTATGAATATGACGACGTGTAGTGCTATATTTGCCTTTCTTGTCAATTACAAAAGCGGTAAAATGATTTAAGGAATGATTGTTCAAATAAACGTAGGTAGCTCGAATTCCCTTATGACTCGTTGCCCGAATAAACGTACGTCTCCTTACTCTCAAGAAAATATTACATCTCATATTAAATTAAATTCTATATTACAGAAATGCAACTATGCAAGGGCGTAAACCTGTTGCCAATAATAAGCCTTTTTAATTAATGGAATTTAATGACAATAACGTAATTAACGTAACTAGCATGCTCATTACGTAATTTAAGAGGTTTACTTCGCCTTTGACGACAATGCATGGGGTGTTTGCAAAAGTAGACCCCAATTTGTGGTCAATGTTTTTGGTATACCCCTCTAATATTTACACCTTTTTTCTCTATATCATCCTTACCCTCTCATCATATCTACCAAAATGCCATCAGTTTTTCTATTTTTCATTTTTTTAAGAAAATAATAATGTCCAAACCAACCTCATCTCCTACACTTATTCACGAAAATGCCATCAAATTCAATTCACCCAACAACCATTTTCAACCATATTCAAGCTTTTTAAAGCTTCTTCTTCCCTTTTACACCACCAAAATCACACTATATTCTCTTCTAACCTTCTTCTCTTACTTATTCTCTCCAATTTCATCACAAAAACTCTATAATCCATCTCTCAAAAATATAAGTTCTTGTATGATGCCATTTGTGGTCACCAAGCTCACGGCAACAGCTGGGCTTCTCTGCTGAAGGTTTAAATCGAACCAATCCGCCGTCGACGCAACCAAACAGCTCATCAAGGTGATTTTCCGTTCGTTTTTCGTGAATTTCAGATCTCCTGCGCGATGTAGACTTCACTAAGAAGTCAACATGTCAACGTGGGGTACACTAACTGCAAACGACTTTTTAAAATTTTGGAGAAGTAGACTTCTTGGAGAAGTCTACATTAATCCTTTGACAACAAAAAAAGGTGGACCCCATGTGTAGACTTCACAAAGAAGTCTATTCTTCGGGAGGGGTATACTTTTGCAATTGACCAGACGACGACTTTCGGTTCTGAAGTCTACACATGAAGTCTACGCGACAGGGGTATACTTTTGCAATTGACCAAATCACGACTTTTTGATGTAGACTTCTTTTTTAGACTGTAGACTTCCCCGCGAAGTCTACTTTGACGCGTAGACTTCTTTGAAGTCTACTTTCGGAGTAGACTTCATGGAGAAGTCTACTTCTGCAAAAAGAAGTCAACTGGTCAACGAATGAATAGTAACTCGGGGTACACCAACTGCAAACGTTGTTTTACGAAGTCTACTTTTGGTAGTAGACTTCAATATGACGTCTACTTTTCGTAGTTGACTTCTTATTGAAGTCTACTTGTCATTGTTGACTTCAGCCTGAAGTCTACTTTTATAAAAGAAGTCTACTTCAAAAAGTCGTGATTTGGTCAATTGCAAAAGTATACCCCTCGAATTGTTGACTTCCTTTGTAGACTTCACAAAATATTCTTGCAGTTGGTGTACCCCTAAAGTTGACTTCCTGGTGAAGTCTACAAGTAGATTTCTACATGACGTCTACTTTGTTATTATATTGTAAATTAGGTGTTTGTGCAATATGAATAACTAATTTATAAGATTTTCTTCGACAATAAGTTGTTTTTATCTGTCTATTTGCCTGTGTAACAATTTGGCTTGCTTAATCAGTATATTTTGAAGGGAATCAAATTTTTAGTTTTTGGTGGAGTTTAGGTGAAATGTAGTAGACTTCACGGCGAAGTTTACTTTGTAAGTGTATTTTAAATTCGATATTTGTGCATTATGATTAACTAATTTTAAAAAAATTCTTTGACAATAAGTTGTGTTAATCTGCTTACTTGCTTATGTATCATTTTGACGTGGTTAATCATTATATTTTGAAGAGAATCAAATTTCTTGTCTTTCTTGGATACTAGGTGATAATTTAGTAGACTTCTTATTATTGAAGTTTGCTTACTCATTTTGACTACTAATGTGTTGTGTCTTAATCTTTTTATGCAGAAAATGGTGTGCTATTGTTTATGGAAAATGGGCGAGGATCGTGAATGTTTGAAATTGATTATGATGAGGGAGAATGTGTTCTCCTTGTTTTGATTATTAATGTGTTATACCTTCTCCTTCTTAAGATGGATTATGTCATCTCCTTATTAAGATTAATTATGTCATGTACATTAGTAAGCTTGTTCAAATGACACAAAATAATAATAAGTGGGACAAGAAAGAAGAGTTTTTAGAGTTATCATATACCCATTATCAAATGCTATGTTTCACATAACTTGTAGATTTGTCTGTCAAATGCACAAACATAGTCTTCTTAATCGCACAAAAATAGCCTTCACTTCTGAGATTTTGTCATCTCTAGCCCTATTAGGATTTCATGACTAAGTAGTTCTTTGGATTGTTTGTAGATGAACTTTTCTTTTGTATACAACTCAAATGTGGAGGGTACAAATTGCTATATCTGCTTACAAACTAAAGAGGGTACAACCAATACAACTATACATCAACCATAGTACAAATGCAAATTTTTAAGCTTGTTTCTACAACTAAGCGTGACTTGGCTCGATCAAGTGATTTCTCTGTGTTAGAAGCCATGCCACAGTTGGCAGGAACCGAGCCTGCAACTACTATCACCTACTCTTGATTTTCAAGCCAAATCGTAGATAACCTGAGCGACATTATGACAAAAGAGTAAGACTCATAACAGTAAGAACACACACAAAACATGATTAAGACAATTTATTCAAAGCTTAAATCATTATATATTGTACAAGAACCAAGGATATATTATACATGATCATACATATTTCAATCATCTATTAGCAAGAGATCTGAATCCTCATAAAACCAAACCTCAACCACAGTGAAGCAGACTGTTCCACAAACCAAACCTAGTTTTAAAGGTTTTACGCTCTTGAAACGAACCCAAATAAAATACACATTTCAATATAAATTCGATTGGTTACTTTTATTGTGATTTTTGGCCACAAAATCAAACTTTTCTCCATAATTCAATTACAAAATGCATCTCATAAGGTCTCATTTATGGCCTAAGCGATAAAGATAAAGCTAGAGAAACTAATCAAGTTTGCTACTGAGATATTGGCAGAATCTAACATAATTTCCATTACAAAACCAAAACTAATCAAGCAGCAAAACATGAACACAACAGCATAATCTCAATCTCAATCTCAATTCAAATAATAACAAACATGAAGCACTAAGAAACTTGGTAAATCAAACAACAAAACAAACCATAGAAACTCAAGCATCAAAACCTTATAGAGAAAAACACTTAAAAAAAAAGTCCATAATCAATCAAAACGCTTATTCGAAGTAGTCTTGATACACGAAAAAGTATACAAACAAAACAGTTTCTCAGTTAAGCTTACCATCTCTGCTATTCGAAGTAGTCTTGGGATTGATTTTTGGTTTTTCCAGAATCAACAAGCATCCAAAAACATGAAGCATTCTTATTCTTGGTGTGGCCTGCCAAACGAAAAAAAAATGAAATAAAACATGAGAATACACATAATAAGGTTTCATTTCACAAAGACAAAATCAACGAAAACATACCATATGCAAACCGAACAAGCACATCACTTAGCTTTAAACACTAAGCACATCACTGGAATCAAATTGGCGATTGGAACAAAACAAGTAAAAACCATTCCAATTCAAGTACGATAATCGCTTTGATACAATAGATAATTCTTGGAAACCACCAACATATTTACAAGCATAAGAAATGAACAAGAAAAAAAATAGAGTAGAAGCGCTGACCTCCATCTGTGATTTTTCAGCTAACGTAGTAGAAGATGAAAAAGAAAAGGAACAAACAGAGTTAGTGAGTGAAATTCAATAAATTTGTATCTTTTGTTTCTCTATCTTAGAATATGCAGAAACCAGAGCATACCTCTCTATATCTCGTCAGGTAGACC